TGCAGAACTTTGCACTTCTCCTTGTTGAACTTCATGAGGCTTTTGCCAGCCCATTTCCCCAGCCTGGTGAGGGTCCTCTGGCCTATCAGCCACTCCTCCCAGACTTGTGTCATCTGCAAATTTGCTGAGGGAAAATGTGAAAATCCGTCACATCATCCAGATCATTAAGGAAGATGTTAAACAGGATCAGACCAAATACTGATTTCTGGGATACACTATTGGTCACTGGACTCCAACTAGAGTTCATACCACTGACCACCACCCTCTGGGCCCAGCCATTCAGTCAGTTGTGAATCCACCTCTATCTGTTCATTCAGCCCATAATTCAACTGCATTTCTATGAAGATCCTATGGAAGACAGTATCAAAAGCCTTACTGAAGTCTAGATAGACAACATCTGCTCTCCATTCATCTGCCAAGCCAGCCATTTCATCATACAAGGTTATCAGGTTGGTGAATCCATGCTGATTACTCCAAATCACTTTCTTATCCTTCAAACACCTGTAAATGGTTTCCAGGATCCTTCCATCACCTTCTCAGAGGTCAAGGTGTGGCTGACCAGCCTATAGTTCCCTGGGTCCTCCTTCTTGAAGATAGGAGTGACATTTGCTTTCCTCCAGTCCTCAGACACCTCTCCAGTCACCATTATCTTTCAAAGATAACTGCGTGGCCTCACAATGACATCTGCCAGCTCTCTCAGCACTCATGGGTGCATCTCATCAGGCCCCATGGACTTACTATGTCCTGTTTGCTTAAGTATTCTCTAACCTGATCTTCTTCTACCAAATGTTGTCTTTCCTGCTCCAGACTTTCCCACTGGTCTCTGCGTCCCCAGATTTCTGAAGGAGAATCTTACTATTAAAAACACAGGTGAAGTATGAATTCAGTACCAGTGGGATAGACTGTTCTTGAGCTAGGAAGAGGCAAACCTTCAACATCTACCAACTCTTTTGAACCCCTTCTATCTCTGGGGCCATCTCCCATGGGATTATTCCAAGCAGATCCCTGACGAGGTCGAATTCTGATTTCCTGAAGTATGGACTGCTTGTCCAGCTTTTTGACCTGCTCCCTCTTCTAAAGATCACGAAGTCCACTTCTTCCAGTTTCCTGACAAAGCTTCATCTTCTACTTCTTCCTGATCAGGCAGTGTATAGCAGTTACCCACTGCAACATCACCCATGCTGGTCTGCCCACTAACCTTGGCCCTATAAGCTCTAAGCTGGTTCATCATCCTTTTCCAGGCAGAGCTCAATGCAGTCACACTGTTCTCTCTCATAAATGGTAACACCCTCTCCTTGTCTTTCTAGCCTGTACCCTCTAAAGAACCTCCAGGCACATGAGCTATCCCACCACATCTCTGTGATCCCCACATGATCACAGCCCTGAAAGTGCATGCAGACCTCTAAACCCCTGTTGTTTGTTCTTGTGCTGCATGCATGAGGCTGAAGGCACTTCAGAGAAGCACCCAAGTGTGCTGATGGCCAGGAAGAGAAAAGAGCTTTCCCCACCATGCTGTCCTCTAGGCACTTCCTTATTCATGTGTATACACTTAGGATGAGGCCTTTTCAGTCCTGTTTTGTTGTTTACAAGGTCTCTCTTGCCCACATCGCCCGCATCCTTTGCTTGCCAACCCAGTCCACCACTTCCTCACTTGAATGTGGTCATCACCTCCCACTCCTGTCATTCCTAGTTTAAAGGTCTTCATACCAGGTTAGGTAGCCTGCTGGCTGATTCCACCCTTACCATCTTGGAGTGGTCTGCTTAGGTTTATTCATCTAGATTCATCCAGATGTGATGGGACTCTACAGATAAGCATTCTGGGCAGACAGATACTGGTCGATATTCAGTTCAGGAACATAAGAAATTGAAAAACCCCCTCTGATTTTTAGTGATAATAAATACTTGTGACTTTGGAGATATTAACAAGAGTCTCTCTGTTGATATATCATTATATCTTTAAGGAACATGAGTTTTCTAAATAAATAAAACAAAGAAACCCTGAAATTCACCAAGCAGGCAAGCAGTGTGATTGACATCGCTGTTAGCTCATGAATACAAGTCAGTGTTTTAACAGCAATCACATTATTTTCTTTTTCAGCTATCATTTAACTGACTTTAAAAACAACAATTTATTTGGATAAATGTTCAAAGTCTCTCTATATTATTTAATCAGGCATTAATGACCACTTTATAATGAGAGTATAACATGCTGCCAATGTTGCCTTATTAGTTTGACTTTGATCGGATACTGCTCTAAGTTTGTCTGGATAATTTGATTATTTCAATGTCAAAATATATTTGGTGAAAGCGTATCATTAGAATGATTGTTAAGGTCTGCTACTATGAAATGAATATCGATTATGGATTTATAATCAACCACAAAATAAGTCCCAGTAATTTTTTTTCAATTCCCACAGGAATATTTTTTAACCAAAATACCACATTTTTCATTTTCCATGGGACCTCTTCACACATAGACATAGCAAGCAACACTTTATAGGCATCTTTGGGCAGAAACTAAAATGAAGAAGACTTTCAAAAGTAAAACTTTTGTCAGGAAGGACAAAGTTGAAATCAGTCAATGCAGGTGAAGTAACTTCTTTAGACTCCTACTGGAAGGCCAAGAAACCCTTTCTAGAAATACTTGAATTTACATTTACGACATCTTACTTTGCACCCATACTGTAATGGCCCTATCCAACCCTCAATTCTCCCAGTCACTGTACAAGCGTTAGTAGCTTGCGACAGCCAAACAGAGTTTAGTTTTAGGTCAGTATCAACCACCACCTGTTGTTCCACCTTCACAGTTTCTACATCACTACTCCAGGCCATCTGGAATCAGACAGCACAGTGCTGAGGTCAGGCTCACACAGCCAGCACTTCAGAATACATTAGTTTCTATTAGCATTGCTCTATCGGCCACCTCAGAGGAAACAGTTTGGGGGAGATTCAATTCCAGACCAAAACCAGGTAAATTCAGGTGTCTGTGTGTGCTGTGCTGCTAAGATCCTATTGCAGCCAAGATCTAGGCAATACAGTCCTATTTACCCTAAGGCAGCAGCCAAAGTATGTGTAACTTGTTGCGGCCCGAAGTGGAGCATAGGCAGCATCAAACTGACCAAATGTGGATGTCTACTTGTAGCAGAATAGCAGAAGCAACGGTCCCAAGTCACCTGCAAATGCAGCGGGCTGCAACCCAGCAAGACTGGCTAAATTGGTACATGTGTAACTTGTGACTTCACAGCAACACGGTTAGGGATGTGTCTGGGAGGTCTTTGTTAAGGGATACAAAGAATTTGAGTAAGCTGTTCACCCACAGAAACACAGTGCCATTTGAGATGTCTGAGGCATCTGCACAGAGTAGGCAGATAGGATGTGACCTGCGGAAGACTCATTTCCTTCTGCCCAACTCTGAACTAGAGCTCAGCAAGGATGTGGAGGCAACTGAGTTAAGCCTTGTGTTGGTTATGCCTCAGTGACTAGACTGGGATCTTAGATAATAAGCTAATGTGAAGAAACCTGTTTGAACATGGAGCAAGCCCTGCCTTTGCACTCAGCAGGTGCAGCTTGCAGGAAGCCAGGATGCCACAAGAGCAAGGAAGAGACAGGTGACAGACTAAGGTGGAAGATGAGAGGATAGAGAAATTCCAGCTTTCTAAAGCAAGAAAAAAAAAGTCATGATGCAGAGTTTTTGTATTGTTTGACATGTGGTAAGGCCAGAATTTTAGGAAGCAAAGCTTAAAGCTTTCCTCCAGAAATATCATTTCAACTTGTGCATGGCATAGAAATACTTGACATCCTAGATGAGAGGAGGGTAGATCCCTTCGGACCACAGACAGGGATTTCTGAACCTCACTTATGAAATTTTTTCTCCTTAATGTCAGCACAAATATTTATAAAGATCAGAAGAAAAAGAGCATCCTAGGCCAGACTGCAAAGGCACTAAAAGAAGAATAGGAACATCAGGGAGACAGAGTGAGGTCAATTCCAACAGTAGATTTACAGACAAGGGACTGGTTTAAGGAGGGAAGTCTGGGGTCACAGATAATAAAAGTTATCATTGTTGGCTGTAAATATGATGTGCAAGCAAGGACAGTACCGAAGTCTCAGAAACAGCACAATTTACTTTTCTAGGAGGAGTTTGGTCTTTGAAGTAGGCTTTTTCTCTCTTTAACAGCCTTGTCAGTGATGAAGAGGCATCCCACATGAAAAGTGATTTACAAAGCAGAAATGTGAAGTCAGTTTCTGAAGTGGTTCATAGAATGAAAAAAAAAAAAAAATACACAGGAGAAAGGTATACCTTGAACTGCTTATATTTAAAGGGTATAATGTGTACAATAAATAGTGATCCCTTCAATAGAAATATTGAAAATGAGAGCATGAACAAAAAGGAAGATAACAACAGCCCTGTTATGACATCAGTTTACAAAGTTTTAATTTAGCCTGTGTCTGTCAAGTAAGGACATTGCCTCCAATGGCCACCAAAAAAAGGGAAGAAGTTGAGAGCTGTTTTTTTTTTTTTTACTAAGGTTAGTATCATTAATTGTTACAGCAGATCTTTAGCCTTATTGGAAAAAGGGACAACCTGTGAATTCCTGAAAGAAGTTGGGAGCTTTTTTTTCTCATTTATTTTGAAAAAGGAAAATAAGGAGGGAGGAAGAACCTTCAAGAGACAAGAAGAAAGAATGCCAACACAGGAGGTAGCATGGGAGAAGGCACTGAAAAATTCACTGTTCCCCAGAACTCCATCTGAGTGTCAAGAAATTCCACTTCATAATAAGAGTTTCTAGCCAGCATTCAAAAAGTGAACTCAGAGGGGCAGGAAAGGGGACTGAAGTGCAACTCAGCCCTCTTCCTGTGCTATTTTTCTTCTTACAAAGCCTTGAATATAACCAATATCAGAAGATCACCATCTTAATTAACATAAAAGAGACTAAGCAGGCTCGATGACAGATGTTCTCCCCAAAAAAAAGACACCATATCAAAACCATGCATCTGACCTGAAGTCATTAGAGATACCATCAAATGTGGATTGTCCCCTCTTGATATTTCATCAAGGTAGGATCTGTAGGGAAAGATAATACCTTTTATAAAACCATCTGATACATTTAGAAAAGAAAGGAAAGATCTTTTAGGCACATAAACCCCTCTTCAGGTCTGAAGAAGCAGCACACTTCTGGCTAAAGACAGAATGAACACACCACCTGTGAGTTTAAATTAAGTATGTTAATTACATAGTTAGAAGCAAGTTGGTACCAATGGAGCAGAGGGATGCTGTTAGCAAAACTGGAAGTCTAAGGCAAAGGGGGAAAAAAGAGGTAAATATTGCCTATGGAAGGCAGAGACCATAGCAGCAGTACAGCACAGCAAAAATTACAGTGCAGAGAAGCCAAGTATTGTTGCCAATATTTGGTTTAAGTTGTGTAAGAGGAAGAATATCTTCAGTCACTGTTGAGTCACAAGCAAACAGCAGAGCACCCAGCCTTTCCTCAGCCCCATAGCTCACACCCCCAAGCATTTTTAATGCCAGCATAAGTTGTTACAACCAAGTTCACAACTTCTTCCAAAATCTTTGCTGAAATAAATACCCATCTCACTCTGTATTTTCATAAATTACAAAAAAACCCAAACAAAACAAAACCAAAAAACAGATTCTCTGCATTTATGAGTTCTAAAGGTCCATAAAGAATACATGCATTATCACAGTTCCAAAATCACTAACACAATTCCCTCACAAATTCCAGAGAACTTAATTTAATAAGGTCTCTTTAAAGTGGTGACCAGTAATTTATAGAGAAATGTCTTTCATGAATGAATAAGGAAAACCAGAATATTTTTAGTAGATTTCATTGGTGTTAGAAATATTTTAGGAGCTATGCAGATGGCAGTCAGTGTGACAGTCAGAGAAGATTCAAAATACTGGTGTATGGTTTTGTGCTATATGGATATGCAGGATTTAACCACCAGTGGAATTCTTAATCTCTTTTTTGATTCTTCCTACACCACCTTCACCACCTTTAGTCCTTCTGCAAAAAAGATAGCATTGTTAGAGGACTAAGAGCCTCCTCACTAACCTTTGCTTCTGATACTTTAGTGTGTAAGGAGACCAAAGTGGGCTAGGATGGCTGTCTTCAGGCAAGACCTGGGCTGAAGACTAAGTGCACCCAACCCTCTACCAGCTACAAATAAAGGCCAAAGCTAGATAGAGAAATTGTCTCCACATCCACATGGGAGGAAATGGTAGGGCAGCAGCTATATCTTCGACCATGAAAGTCTGGCGTCAAGAGCCAGGAATACTGTGCCCACTTCCCGTGATCTTGCAAGGACATATTAGACTGCCCTTGCTCTACTTAACTTTGAAATCTAATTCATAGCTTATATAAACGTGAACAAGTTTAGCCTATCATAAATTGCACAAATAGCGGCAAGGCAAGTCACAGCATTGCTACATTACCAGGGAGCAAGAGGTAGGCACTGAGAAAGAGAAGTCTAGGGAGGATTCAGTTTGAGATCCAGTCACCTGAATCTAGGTGTTTACATGAGCTGACTGCCTAAACTCCTATTACAGCCAATGGAGAGATAGGGCTGGGTACAGTTGCTTAAACGTGGGGATCTGGTACCATTTGACAAGAGCTGGGGTTTCTGACTGGCCTCCAGCAGGGCAGAGATTTCCCATAGGTCCTATAAGACATCTGCATGAGGCTGACAGATGTCTTAATACCCTAGGGCATCAGATTTGGCAGGATATGCTTATATTTAGGTAACTGGATCAAGTTCCACTAAACAGCAGAGTAATGGGAGCCCAGAGCAAGGTTCATCTCATCCCGTAAAGCAGACATCAAACCACTGGATGGCTCTCTAGGCTCCACAAACTATATTGACTTGCTATCAAGAGAGCTTGGACACCTAGCACACACAAAGGTGTCTACGTTTAGATGTATTAATTGTAGCTGAATGGCACAGTCAGGGCAGGATCCAGCTGCCTAAGCAGATCAGGCCCATCCAAAAGGGTATAAACCATTTTTCTCAGACCTTCCCTTCAGTGGGATAAGTTATAATCAGTCTGTCATCCTTTTTCCATGCCTGGAAGGAGTTAGTCGCATCAAATCACTATCCAGGCTTACAGGGCAGGATACTCAAAATAGCTTTGTTGTGGCTCACCACATGGGTGATTCTCATACCCTACCTTCATTCTGTATTCCCTGGGCAGGCAGACCAGACATTTCTGGGGATAAAAAAAAAAAAAAAAAAAAAAAAAATGAAATCAAGTTACATATGGTATTAATTCAATTTTGCCAAAGTCAATAGAATTACATTTTCTTTATAGAGTAAAAGCACTCACCTGCTGTACATAAATACAATGAAGACAACCAGGACAAGCATTATCAAGCTGGCAAGCACTTTCAGTAGGCTGAAAAACAATTACACTTTGTCATCTACAATTCCTCAAAATTATTTCTTCCTCCTCCTTTAAATAATGATGGCAGCAGCCTTCAGATTACATGCAAGAGTGGCATAGACAGCACATCTTTAGTGACATGATTAGTATTAGCTATCACAGGAACACCATGTCTCTTCCAACATGTGCCACCTTTTCACAAGTTAGAGACATAGGGTACTTTAATTTTCATTAAATGAAGAGTCTGGTCTCCACGTTTGACTTGCAATAGGGGAATTATCTTAAGGAGAAAATTAAGAAGTGACCAATTGTCATGTCCTGCTCAGATGAGGGAGACAAGTGACTCAGATTCACAAATCCCCAATGGAGCAGACAGCAAGTCTCCAAGTCCAAATGTTTATTACTACCTACAATGTACTAATTGAACACACGATAATTGGCTAACTATATAGCAAGTTGTGGCAAGCAATACAATGTGCCTTCCATTTCTTAATGGGAAAGGGAAAAGAGGGAGATAGAAGGAATGGGGAAATACAGATCACCAGTCTGGGCTCCTGCACTGATCCTGCCAGCGAGGGTTCCAGGAGGCAGCCATCTTTTTCGCTTGCATCCATCTTCTTCACTTCACTGCTCTCTCCAGGGCCCCCCCCTATTCTTCTCCCCTTTGATTTATACCCACTTTCCTTGGGTCCATCCCCTAGGTCGATCCACATACCTACGTATCCCATGTATGGGGAGGGGTAAGGTGTTTCATGGGATGATGTAATTAGCATGATCATGTCAGCCTTCGTTAGCATATTGAGGGGTGTTAACTTTAACATGCATTTCGTGGATAATGAAATAAAGTTCATTCACCAGACAGATGGCCCTTGAAATTTGCCCAGGTGCACCAGAGCAGGGCTGTCCTGCCTCCACAGGACTCCCTCCTTTAGATGTATCTTGTGTTATTCGGGCAGCCTTATCAGCTTCGACCTCCACAGAATGCACCCTGGGACTCAGTTTTGTCTTGCGAGTGTTTGAGGCATTTCTTCAATCAGCCTCAACTTTTGCTTTCTCAGGCTGTTTTTCTTAGTTTCTTGCAGGCTTGGTTTCTCATCTCTCACACCAATTCCTTTGAGATTTACACAGAAACAAACATGCACAGAAATCATGCTTTCAGCTCTTACAAGATTTTTTATTTTTCCTGTGATCTGAAAGATAATTCTACCTTTGAAACCCTCCACAAAGTCATACTTATTAGCCTTGCTCATTGAGGAAAAAATCATGAAAAGTTTATGCTAAAAGGTAGGATGCCAAAAAAAAAAAACAAACAAAAAAAAACCACCAACTAAATGTGTAATTAGAAATAGTAACAGTATTATCTTAACTGCCATGACATTTTCAAAAAGTTTTTAAAAGGCTGGAGGTTGACTGCTGGAACACTGGCAAGTTCACAAAGGCACCTTAAAACATATTTCATTTACCACAAAGGAATTAAGTATCTGAATCTCTTTGTACTGGTGTTTAAATAAAATATGAAGCTTTTTGGTGTTCTACATCTACTTACACAGCCAAGGTAAAGGGTCATGGGATTCCCATCCCTGTTTTACAGACTTACTTGCATCAGCACAAGGAAGGCTTGAACCCTGTGTCCCTGCCAGCCAGCAAATTCTCCAGCTGCTGGGTTATCACACAGTAAGGGAGAAAAGGACCACTGCATCCTCTCTGCACAGACACCACACACACTTCTCTACAAACCCACCCTGAAACACTGTGATGTTTTATTGTGGGTTTATTTGAATCAAGCATTATAAAATGTCATGTATTTTTCCCTCTTTTGGCCAAGACTGTTCACCCAATTCAATCAGGATGTGAAACTCTTAGCAGTCTCAATGAAGCAGCACTTTTTGGCAAATAGATTTGTATGACAAACAATACCCTTTTGTCTGCACAATATTTCTTTCAGCAAAGCCTCATACTGAGTCTGAGTTAAAGGTGCCCTATGCCAGAAGAAGCAATACCACACACCATCTTCTCTGCACTCAGCATGAACCTGCTGCATCGACAGCGAGTAAATGAAAATAAGTGGGTAAATGTGGAGAAGTAAATTTTGCACAACATGAAATAGCCCAGTTCTAGAAAAGGATACTGAAGCACATGCATATGCATATGTGTGTGTTTCACAAAGGAAAAGGAATTGGGGGGGGGGGAATAGAATATGAAGTGCAGGTTGGGGCCAGGAAGTTTACAATGCTGTAATCAGAAGATGAAAACATGACTTTGCCATTTGCTTTGTCAGCTCTTCCTTGACTACCCTAAACTGTATGACAGAAACCTTTTTCTCCACTCTGGCATTAAAATCTGTCAAGCAAAGATGAGTTCCTCACTTTCATGGCTTTTCAGACTAAAGAGTTATAGGTCAGTAATTTTCCCCTTTTTTCAGTTTCATTTTATCCCATTACCCACTCCCACACAGATACTGTCTTCATTTTAGTATAATTTTTTTACAAATCCTTTCCTATCTATGGCATTACACCTTTTTTTTTTTTTTTTCTTCATTATTATTTGTCTATTTCTGCCCCTTTATTCCTAAAGGTCTTGTTCTCTTCTTTAACATGTCTCCTTCTTGTCCTGTGGCAATATGAGAGGAAGCTGAAACCAACCCTCTGAAACACAAGTAGAAGTCAATTTATGAACCTGAGCTTAAGTTTGGACAGAAATGAAACATTAGTCTGTCTTTAGCTGTCTCCAAATAGTCTGGTTTCTCAATGATTAACATACGTAGCCTGTCCTGCACATTTTTTATAATGAACTTTGAAACAAATTGTAATTGGGATCTGGGTATTATTCCTGAAAATTCTCCCCCCACAATAACTGCATGGTTGAAGGACGCTCTCTTGGTTCATTTAGTATCAACAATGTGATGCCAGTCACCAGAGGAGGATGCAGGGGCATAAGGGCATCATCCACTCAAAATGAGAACAAAAAGACTGTGGCAGGCTTCCACAGGCACAGGCCCATTTCTACCTGCCTGAGACATGAGCACCACACAGTCCACAAAAGACATTAATTTCGAAGTTTCAAAGAAGCAAAGTCTGAGATCTGAACAATGTTACCTTATTTCTTTAAATACTCACATGGCATAGGTTTCCAGATAACTGAAAACTATCTTGCCCATAGAAGGAGCAGTCTATGGTTACACACACCTCTCCTGGCACTTTCTGGTGATGTATTTCATAAACATGAAGTTCACAAACTACAAAATGGAAAAAAAGAGGGAAAAAAGGCAATTAATTTAACATTAGCTTTTAGTTTAATTTCATTGAAAGTAGTTGCATTATCTTCATAATCATTGAAAGTGAAATCTGTAATGCATATCTAGAATAAATTAAAGTTTGAAGCAAACAAAATAAAGGTAGAATTGACTATTCATAGCAACACAGTCTTCAAGTCATAATACACTTCAGTGGAAGGCTCATGCTGATGCCAGTCTGAATAGTCCAGCAGAACACAAGACAGACTGAATACAATAGAAATTTTGAGATTCAATTTGTAACATATAATTATTCCATATTTTACTGCATTATAAGTTTAAATTATCCACATCAGAGGATTTTAGGATTTCAAGTCTGTGTAATAGAATAGAAATTTTTACTCCCATTTTGACAGGAAGGAAGGAAGATAATGAATATGTACTACAGAAGAAGATTAAAGAAAAGTAGCAATTCTGTGACTGACCATTTGCAATATATTTACAAGTAGTTCAACACTTTCATCAAGAAAACTCTTTATAACATAAATTGGAAATGGGATTGTAAAATGATTACAACTAGAAAACAAACAAACAAACAAACTAAAAATAGGGAGAAAGCTATATGCTGGCACATCAAGGGGCTCACACAAGACACTGCCTGCAGCAGCAAAGAAACACACTGAACCCACAGTAGGTAACACCTTCCAGATGTAGAGCTAATATTAATAAGACAATATTTTTAAAAGGATTTTGTCTTAATAGTAGCCCTTTGGCAGCTGCACCTTTGAAGGTGTCTGTGGTCCAGAAACATAGGCATGAGCTGCATACCTACCTCCCCTTAACGGCTGAGAAGAGAAAGCCCATTCCCCGTTTCAGTAGCCAGTGATACCACAGTTCTCAAAGACAGCTTCAGAACAGCTCTATGTCAAGTGTTTCCATTAGTCCTGTCTCATACAGCATTTTATAAATTTTATATATATATATACATATATATAATGGAAGTGCAGTGTTTTAGTGCACTGTCATCTCAGACTACTTTCATGCTGCAGTACACAATGCAATTGTGCTACAGGAGCACATGCCCTGATGCTCAGTGTGAAGCACATGAAGAAAGTGCCATGTTGTTACTTGAGCTAAGACCCATGCCAGCTACACTGCAGTCTTGGAGACCTGCCCAGCTTACCTTCAGTCCAGATGTTTTGAGTAAAGTTCGTTCAGCAGCATTTGCAGTTCAAGCCCACTGGGTTCTCTGATTAGTTTTCCATCCTTGAGGATTTTCAAGACCCAGCTGGACAAAGCCCTGAGCAACTGGGTCTGAACTCAGACCTGGCCCTGCTCTGAGCAGAAGGCTGACTAGACACCTCCCAAGGTTCCTTCCAGCCAGAATGGTTTTATTCATGTACCTAACCTATACAAAGCTTGTACTGCTTTAGCTAATCCTACCATCAGTGTCCAGGCAGAGATCATGAGGTAGTCAAGTTCAGACTTGTTCCTCCGTGCTACAGTCACATCTCTAATTCCAATATAGGCCTATGAGCTCTGAAATTTAATAACTGTGGCAAACTTGAGCAAAGACTCACCTAACACCTTTTTAAAAAAACAAAAAAAAACCCCAAGCACATGACAACTCAGCTGAAGTGTGGGATGTATTTGGTATGTCTTCCCAAAGGCAAAGCTAATCAAGAAAGCTAAGTAAAAGAAGAAAAATAGATTAAAAGACCACCCTGCTTGATATTGATCTTTCTCTTGGCCAGTGAGGAAATTTTCTGAAGGTCCCACAGGATTGATATTATTAAATATCCTTCAGCAGAAACAGGACCCATAGCCTAGAATACATGGGTTTTGGTTTTCTGTCCCTCACTAATAACACTGGGAGGTTGTTCCAAGTCCCATTTCCAGCTTGGAATAAAACCTCCCAGTAGTTTCCAGCACCAGTTGATATGCTGCAGCTATCCTTGATTGATGCTAACTGCAGGAAGTGATTAGGGGCCCCTTTTGGGAAAAATGACAGCTATGGTGACAGAAGCCACCACATGAAACCACAGATCTGCCAAGTGCCGAGGAACAACAAAACAATTTTCCACTGAAAACGGACTGTGAACATGCAGGAAGCTTGATCTGGCAAGATACAGTGTCTGCAAGCCTGTGAAGTATCTGGAGGCTATACTGGGTTTGGCTGGAATCAAGTTTTCTTCATAGTAGTTCATATGGTGCTGTTTGGATTTGTGATGAAAATGATGTTCATAGCGCGGCGTTACTGCTGAGCAGTGCTTACACAGAGTCAAGGCCTTTTCTGCCTCACCCCACCCACCAGCGAGCAGGCTGGGGGTGCACAAGAGGCTGGGAGGGGACACAGCTGGGACAGCTGACCCCAACTGACCAAGGGACATCCCAGACCATATGACATCATGCCCAGCATATAAAGCTGGGGGAAGAAGAAGGAAGGGGGGACATTCAGAGTGATGGCATTTGTCTTCCCAACACACGTTACACATCACAGAGCCCTGCTTTCCTGGAGATGGCTGAACACCTGCCTGCCCATGGGAAGTGGTGAATGAATTCCTTGTTTTGCTTTGCTTGTGTGCACAGCTTTTGCTTTACCTATTAAATTGTCTTTATCTCAACCAACGAGTTTTCTCACTGTAACTGTTTAGATTCTTTCCCCCATCCTATGCACGGGGATGAGTGAGTGGTTGGGTGGGGCTGAGCTGCCTGTCAGGGTTAAACCAGAAGAAAGCTGACAGGGGGAAATGAAGAAAATGCCAGAGGAAGAGGAAGAGGTCCTGAGAGGAAGGATTATTTTTAGGCATGCTCCTGTTTAAAACCTTCTTTTCCTTGATTGCTGCTGCATTCAGTGAGCATGTAACAAGCATGGAATCCAAAGAACTCACAGGATCCCACATCTCAAAGGAACTACACAAGTACCAAACAGATGTATGCATCTGTCAACACACTGGAGCCAGCCAGGATTCACGTAGGTAGACCAAAAATGAACATCTGCCCTGCGCTGCCTAGAACTATCTCCCCCTCCTCACATTGCTGCCCTGAATCCTACTGTAGCGCTGAAACACCTGTCCGGGCATCAAAGCCCTGGAGGCTCAGCCTGGTACGGACAAATAGTAAGAGTCCCTCCTTCCCTGCGTAGTCCCACATAATTTACTTGGGGGAGGGGAAATACCGAAGACGATGGCAGAATGAAAGACACCAAGCTTCACCCCAAGAGGCACGGGACGGCTGCCGGCCCAGCCCGGCCTGTGCTGCTCGGCCCAGCCTACTCTGTAAGCTGTCCTTAGTTAGAGCTTCTTCATGGGCTGCTTCTCTTCCCACCACAGCTCCTACATATGCCAGTGCTCCCACACGTTCTGTAGTGAGATGACTGGTAACACTGGTTAGTGAACATCTGGAGGCACCTTGTAACTGCAGACATTCACAGAGCCATAGGTAAATGCACTTCAGAGGATGCAGGCATCCAAGAACAAATTCAGCTCTATTTAGGGAGTTCGTCCAGGCTCAGTGCTCTCAGGCATCATTACAAAACCGACGTTTCATTGTCTGCTTTGGACACAAACATGGCAAC